CTTTCTTGCCTGAAAATTAAGAAGTAAAAATTTATATTTAAAAATTAGATATGTTCTCTAAGATTTTCATCAACTTAATATTATATACACTGCACTTCTGTGAAAATTAATACAATAAATAATTCTCCTTTCATAAAGATACGCGAGTAAATATGTTCCACATACATACATACATAACTGCGATGAATAGCGCTAGCAGATATGTACGTACGTACATATGTATATATGGAACCAACATACACGCATTCATGTGAAGTGCACATTACGTGTCAAACGAGAAGCCACGAGGGGAGAAATTTCCATTGAATATGGTTCTTTGTTTTAGCGCACATTTATTAAAATATATTGATTATATCAAATGAATATAAAATAAATTAAATATAAATTTAAATCAAACCTGCAGAAGCCATCTTGATGAAAAATCCAAACAAATTTAAATTTTGAAGAGAAGTTATGTGTAGCTATCTACAGACACATATCAATGTTTTGTATAGTTATCGATATCAAAAATCGTCTCTCACATGGCAATGAAATGAGATCTGAACTGTTTCCACTGCCTGCATTTGTCGTAGATGCTGTAACTTATTGACACAACAATTAAACAGCCAAATTAGATATATGTTTGAGATATGTTAATTTGTATAAAATAAAATGTTAATGAAATCTATTGTATTCAATATTAGTGTATTTTCTGGCATGGTTAATACATTGAAGGTATGTGTCGGCAATGTATTGAAAATCATACGAATAAAAACTTTACTACTGAAATCGAAACACAGAAGTGTTTGGTGAAACTTGTTTATGAAACTATAGAATTAAAAATTTCCCCGTTTCTGTAGTTATGTAAAATATTCCGCATTATCCGACTCATTATCATTTTATTTAAAATAGTTATAAATTCAATACATCGATAAAAATATATACAGACTCATGACTTTTTAAATATATCTATCACGTTTCAGCCATGCTTCATACTGTGACTTAATTGGTCCCATTTATATATTTGGTAGTAGAAAAGTCATTTTAACTCCTGCATGCATGTGTGTGTATGCGTCTTTCCGACAGTACATATAGAAACTTCAGATGTAAGAAATCGATAGCGTTTTCCATATCAATTAAAAGGGATTGTAATAATGTCCCGGGACACCGATTTCCAATGCCACTAATGATTATCTGATCGTTAAAATATGCATAGGTAATTTTACAGAAAGCACATCTGTGAATCAAATCTTAAATAATAAATTACGTGGCATTATTACATTTGACAACACAATGCACTAGTCCAATATTAAGCCGTCCTTCATCCCTATCCCCATCCTTATTTTAAATGAACACTCTTGCATCCAAAGCGTAGTGCGATGTTATCATTCTATTGTGATCACTTAGTTCATTTGCTTAATATCGAGAAAGATCGATAATTTCTAAAAATTTGCGAAGACGTTCTTATATACTGGACACTGCTTTGGCAAATAGACACATGTGAATGACATTATCACGAACTGATTATTTGATTAAGAAATTATATCTAGAAGAATAGATAGCTAAAATGTATAAGAGATGTATAACGAAAGGTATAAAACAGAGTTCATTTTTTTTAAATTCCTTTGTTCACTGCACTCTCTCTCTGTCTCTCTGATCTGGTGAACGATTATATTGTACAAGTTGTATTAGCTTAGATAAAACGGTATCGAATTTAATCTATTAAATAATATCTGCCGCGTCTTTCAAGCTAGAGAATTGTACATTCCATTTATTATAGATTTTAAAAAATTACTAATTGATGATCAATTGAAAATATCGACAATATGGGAAACAGTTTCCCTTTTTTATGATATTCCATACCTTCACAGACTATCATATTTCAGTTAGTAGTAAAAGCATGTGATCGATTGGCTTAAATACTTGCATATTATCGATTTCTTTTAATAATAATATAATTTCCAAGTATCTGGCAGAGCAAATTCCGATCCGGACACTAAACCATTGTATTAAATCAATGCATCAATGCATCTTCACGATGCCAAATCCATTAAAGGGGGCAACCCTAAATGAGGCACGTGGCGCACTTATAAGAGAACAAAGGAATACTGAAGATACATATTTATGTATTTAGATATTCTATATTACATTAGATGACAATTTTGATATCTTTAATAACTATATTTTCATTTATCATGGCAATTTCACATAAATATCATAAAAATACACTACCTGTTCATCGTGTATGTATAAATAAAAACTAACACCATACTAGGCATATGAATTTTACGTCGATAAATTAGGCTGATTATCGAATAAATTTGTGATATTTTACAACACTTTTGATACGTAGAGAAATGTGATTGGTCCACATGTATCCAATAAAAACGTTCCAGCGATTTTAAGAATAAACTGTATTTGTCTCTCTCATACGTTTTCCATTTGCTCCACAGAGCCGGGCCGGCGTTTGTGAGCAAATATACAGATTGCTTCAGTCAGTAGAATAAGTTTGTTTCGGGAGTTTGGTGAAGTCACACGCGTTCATCATGTACTTTAAGGCAATTGTTGCATTATTTACAATAGGATTTGTAAATTGCGAAGTATTTTTCGAGGAAAAATTCGAAAATGGTAAACGTGTATAATAATGTATAATGAAATAATTGTGGTTAACGTGAGTTTTGTCAATATCTGTATATTCTGCAGAAAATTGGAAAGACGAATGGGTCTACAGTAAACATCCTGGCAAAGAGTTCGGCAAATTTATTCACTCAGCAGGCTCATTCTTCAACGATGCTGAAGCAGATAAAGGTAAGTAAACGGTTTATACCTGTTTTCATGCATACATGCATGTGTACATATGTACATACATATATGTCTTAAATACATGTGTATGTATGTATGTATGTATTTATATATTTGTGTGTGTGTGCGTGTGAGAGTATGTGTATGCAAACATATTAAAAACAACAATTTATTAATGAATACAATTCACATTTCCTTCAGGCATCCAAACATCACAGGACGCTCGATTCTATGCGTTATCCAGAAAGTTCGACGCCTTCTCAAATAAAGATAAACCATTAGTAATTCAGTTCTCTGTCAAGCATGAGCAGAATATCGATTGTGGAGGCGGCTATGTGAAGCTGTTCGACTGCTCCCTGGACCAGACTGATATGCATGGCGAGTCGCCCTACGAGATTATGTTCGGACCCGATATCTGTGGGCCCGGTACCAAGAAAGTACATGTCATTCTCAGCTATAAGGGCAAAAATCATTTGATCAACAAGGATATCAGATGCAAGGATGACGTCTATACCCATTTCTATACTCTAATTATTAAACCCGACAACACCTATGAGGTGCTGATCGACAATGAGAAGGTGGAGTCTGGAAACCTTGAAGATGACTGGGACTTCTTGGCGCCCAAAAAGATTAAGGATCCCAACGCAAGCAAACCAGATAACTGGGACGATAGGGTAAGATTTGATAAAAACATAATTATTATTAGTTTGAGCACCACAAATATGTAGTCAATGCTATCAAATTTGTTAATATTGATTATTGGCCGTTTTTTTTTTTTTTTGAAGTGACGTGTTATCAGTAATTAAAAAAATTGAATTGTTTACTAGATAATTCTGAACTCTGAGTCATTTAAGTATCTAAGACCCATGTGTTCATATATAGAGACCCACATGAACATAGACTGAACATATAGATATACATACATATATATCTGTACTATATATAGTCAAAGTGCAAAATCAAAACATTTCTCAATTGGTTCACGTCGTAAAATGGGAAAATAAATTGAGTTGAAAGTATTATTCGCAAGTTGTATAAATGTAATTAGCGGAAAGTTCTTTCATATAATATATTTAAATGAATATATTCAAATGAATAGAATATTTAAGATTCGTTTATATTAAAATAAAAATTAATATGTGTATTTGCTCAACAGGCAACCATTCCTGACCCAGACGATAAGAAGCCTGAAGATTGGGACAAGCCACAGCACATTCCAGATCCCGATGCCACCAAGCCTGAGGATTGGGACGATGAAATGGATGGCGAATGGGAGCCACCAATGGTAGACAATCCTGAATACAAGGGCGAATGGCAGCCTAAGCAATTGGACAATCCCAACTATAAGGGCGCATGGGAGCATCCAGAAATCGACAATCCTGAATATAGTCCAGACGATAATCTCTATCTGCGCAATGAGATCTGCACATTGGGCTTCGATTTGTGGCAAGTTAAGTCTGGCACGATATTCGACAATGTCCTCATCACTGATGACATCGAACTGGCAGCCAAGACAGCAGCTGGCGTTAAGGACACGCAAGCTGGCGAGAAGAAAATGAAGGAGCTGCAGGATGAAGTCCAGAGGAAGAAGGATGAAGAGGAGTCGAAAAAGAACGCAGACAATCAGGATGAGGACGATGACGACGATGATGAGGAAAATGCCGACGCGAAGTCCGATTCAGAAGAAAATGGCCATGATGAATTGTAATTAACATCTCAAAATCAGCGTGCGCGTGGTCCGAATTAAAGTGGCTTGGCGAGTGGTTGCAAGCACTTTTATTATTTATGTAGAATTAAAATTTTGCAAGACTTATAATATAATTTAAAATAAAGGATTTGCATATTAGTCTTCAATAAATATGTCAGGAAAAAAACCTCAAATATCGGTCTTATATTTATCTAAAAATTGTCTATTATATTTTCAGGTTGTGTAATAGCCAAATGCATCAAATTCATTAAAAACGGGTGTGTTTACAAATAATTGATAAGAAACCAAAGAACTGAAATACTCTTCGAGCCGTCCACTTAATACTAATTGCAAACGTTGGGCAATGATAAGAGTGGAGCCAATGAAGCATTGCTTGTCCCCAATTCGTTAGATATTGTCAAGTAATATTGGTAGACACTGCTTAAATAAAAATCGGTTTTATAGGTACGGATAATTTTGACTAGTAGCCGACATAATACTCTTGTTTCGCAGGGCAAATCAGCCTTAGAAATGTGAAGAAACGGCATTGAAACAATGCTCACGTTTATTAAATTAGCTTGTGCTTTTACAAAATACGATTACGGTTATTTTATTTATTTGAACTTAAAGATTTCAGCATTGGCGCTCTTCATGATTCATTATTAAAATTTCATATTATTATTATTATTATTATTATTAGATTATTAAAATTTTAAATATTCGATTACATATATTGCGCCTTCCGCAACAAATTGTCATTTTTTAGTTCAAATGAATCCAGATATGGAACGGAACGGTGCAGTTGAGTTGAGTCGACAATCTCAGTTTTGTTATTCCATAAAAAAGAATAGGATATACCGATACATTTCCCAACATTGTCTATATTAAATTTATTAAATTGATTATTGATTAAATTAAAAATTGATTTAAAGCTTATTAATTCACAAACCATATGAATGATTGGGTATATACAGGTTTCACATATTTCTGTCAAATGCTGTTCGATTCCACTGTTTCATAACAGTCATTGCTTTTATTAGTGCATGTGAATGTCGATTCCCATTTTCAAAGCAACTCTGTCAGAGAGTCTTACTGTCAATTTGTCAGACTTCCGTCTTTTGGATTTTGGTCGGCTTTAAAGGTGGGTGTCAATCTCTAATGTGCTAAATAAAACTCGGGTTTTTAAACCCATCATTCGACTTATTATTAATATTATTATTTTTCTGTTTAACAGGTAAATGCAGCTATTGGTTAAAGATTAGATTTACGATCGATTTCAATATGATGATATTTCCATGCACCACTCTTTATGCCGTATTGCGCAAAGGAAGATTATGGATAGCTGAAAAATCTGTAGATTTAAACAGAGAATATTTGACATATTCCGATTAATTAAAGTAGTCTTTTGTTTGTTTAAGGTTCACGGAACAACCAAACAACATTCATTTTAATAGACCAATGATGTGACACGTTATTATGTATACTAATAACAAATTCCATTTGTTGCTAGGTCTATCAATCTTTGGACATGGGTGCCTACCGGTATATGCAAGAGTTGTATAGGAAGAAGCAGAGTGATGTTATGCGTTACCTGCTTCGCATCCGCGTGTGGCAGTATCGTCAATTGACGAAATTGCACCGCTCGCCGAGACCAACCCGTCCCGACAAGGCACGTCGTCTGGGATACCGTGCAAAGCAAGGATTCGTCATTTATAGAATTCGTGTGCGCCGTGGTGGCCGCAAGCGCCCAGTGCCCAAGGGCTGCACCTATGGCAAGCCCAAAAGCCATGGTGTCAACCAACTGAAGCCTTACCGTGGACTCCAGTCTATTGCTGAAGTAAGTATATATTCGCATATTATGGAAAAATGGATTTTTCATGATGATAATCACTTGCTTCGTGATAAATAATGATTTTCGAACTTCCTTAGATGTCTGACTACAACTCAATTGAAAAAAGTCTATAATTTGGAACAGTATCTTAACAAACTTGCATTTATTTGTTTTCTAGGAACGTGTTGGTAGGAGACTTGGTGGTCTGCGCGTTTTGAATTCTTACTGGGTGGCTCAGGACGCATCATACAAATACTTCGAGGTCATTTTGGTGGACATCCATCACAACGCCATTTGCCGTGACCCCAAGGTCAACTGGATCTGCAAGCACGTGCACAAGCATCGTGAGCTCCGTGGTCTGACTTCAGCTGGCAAGAGCTCTCGCGGCATCGGCAAGGGCTACAGATACTCACAAACCATTGGCGGATCACGTCGTGCTGCCTGGAAGCGCAAGAATCGCGAGCATATGCATAGGAAGCGTTAAATACACTTATGTTCCAGCCCAAATTGAAATACATATTAAAAATTGTGTATACATTAATTATTGTATCATTTTTCCAACGGGCACATTTCATTACAGCAAAGAGCTCTATGAAATATTGAGTGATGTTGATCTCATTACTTTCGTAATATTAGCAGAAAATGCTTTATTCGTTTATATTCGAGCTGTAGAGTTATATGAACTGCGATTGCAATACGCAAGCAAATATATATATTTTATAAAGCATGCAAAATATTCTAAGCAATTTTTGTATACATTTTATTTGTAAAATACATATATATGTGTAAAATCGTAAGTTCTTTTCGTTAAATGGTATTCTTCATTTAATAAGATAATGATTATTGCGACCTCCAATGTTTTTAAGATTACATTCATGTTAAATAATTCAATACTAACAAAGGGTTTATAGGACTTTCTTGAGCTGATTACGATTTAATTTTTTTAATATGTAAAAAAGGTTTTCCCCAAAACGTGCTCTGAGATATAAAGTGCTATATTTGTCTACCGAATAGTCATATCACTGACCAAAGTGGTAATATTCAGCAGTCTTAGGACTGCTTAATAATAACTGCATTCAAATAATTGATGCGGTACAAAAGGGTTAATATTAAGGAAATATCGATAAGTAACTATCGATATATCGTTTCAGCATTTATTGCCGGTTGTTTTGATGTATCTCACATCTCTATTTCGCTGGCAACAATGCAAGTTTTTCATTAATTCTTTCTTAATACACGATAAATTAATTGTAGCGTTATCAATTAAATAAAAATAGAATACCCTAACTAAATATGGGAAGAAGAAAATCTAAGAGAAAACCACCGCCTAAACGCAAGAACATCGAACCACTGGATCAACAGTTTAATTGTCCATTTTGTAATCACGAAAAGTCATGCGAAGTAAAAATGTAATTTGTACTTATATTTTGAAATTTGTTCTTTGTATTAATGCACCTAATGCACCTTTACAGGGACAAGGGCCGGAATACCGCTAAAATAACATGTCGTGTTTGTCTAGAGGACTTTCAAACTGGAATTAACTTTTTGTCAGAACCTATCGACGTATATAATGATTGGGTTGATGCATGTGAAACTGCGAATTGAACCTAGTATATATTTTATAAATATGGTTTTTACTTTTACAAATTCATTTTGATACTTAAATTTACTATGTTCTTTCATTGTATTCCTCTTGTTTTAGTTCTGTGTAAGACATATATTTGATGTCATGTACAGTAAAGATTCGATACAGTATAACTTTAATTAATTAAACTTGTAAGCTCAAAATTGAATAAAAGTGTAATAAATCTCTATACCCTATAGAATGCGGTTCGTCATTTTCAATTTTTTACTTTGGAATGGCCAACTAATAAGAGCCTTAAATCGGAATTGAATAATTCCGAAAAAGATTGGACAATTGATATTGAAATGGAATAATACAATTATGCTGATCCGAAAATAATGCGCTAATATCTGAAGCGATTTTGTTTCCTCTCTTTACTCTTTCTGGCACTGTTGCTCCTTTCTTTTAATTTACTTATGGTTCTCTTTACCTTTACTTCTTCCCATTCTTTTGCCATTGTACTAATTTTGATTATATCAATCATCCTTTCATAGTATTCACTTGTGTGATTTTACTTTTCGAAATGGAATTGATGTGATTAATTCGCATGCATTCAAGAACACTGTACGCACGACAGACAAATTTGTCTTCTTTGATATATGTATATATATATATATATGTTTTTTTTTTTTTTTTTTTTTTTAAATACGAATCGAAGGATTACGTCAGTGTTATACAGTGGTGTATAAATGTGGTGTATTTTCCACGATCTCGTGGGGAACCGCGCCTACGTAAACAACAGCAACGGAACTGTAGAATTTTCGGCCAGATGTAATCGATTCTGGAAATAATTTAACTTTCTAGCTTAAATAACATTAGAAGATATCGCCAGTATAATATCCAAATTTCAAATCTCTGGCACAAATTTCCTCAGAAGTAACAGAATAGTTCTAGTACTAGTACTAGTATTGTGAATATTTTATTAGAGCTCTATTATTATGAAGTTGGTTGTTTTTAACTAGTAATAGTAATAGTAATTTTGTAAAATGTTATTATCTATATATATAAAAGAGAGTTGTGTAAAAGTGTCTTAGCACTTATAACTCGAGATCTGCTGGACCAATTTTCATGGTTTTTGATTTGTTGGATTTGTCTCCGCCACGAGGCGGATCAGTAGATCTTTAAAATACTGAAAAAATTTGACGAATACTTGAAAAACGCGGTTTTTTCCCTAAAGATTCAAATTTCCATTTATACTCAGTAGCCTTGACAACAGTGACAGTTTCGGTCCTGTATAGAAGTAAATAAACAAATGTAGTCAGTCAGTCTACGGCACAGCCTCGAGCAGACCTGACTATTCAACAAAAAAAAAAAAAAAGACTATTCAACAAAAAAAAAAAAAAAAAAAAAAAAAAAAAAAAAAAAAAAAAAAAAAAAAAAAAAAAAAAAAAAAAAAAAAAAAAAAAAAAAGACTATTAAAAAAAATAAATAAATAAATAAACAAAAAAAAATTTTTTTTCCAAATCAAAAAGAAAAGTATTTCAAATCAAAAATTTGCAAAAATTCAAAAAAATCAAAAGATTAAAACCTGACTGTTCAAAAAATAAATAAAAAATTCAAAATTCGAAATTAAAAAAAAAATAAGTTAATTATTAAAAAGTGTATTTTTGGCTTTTTATATTTTTGGACTTTTAAACTTTATAAATATTTCAAATCAAAAATCTGCAAAAATTAAAAAAAAATCAAAAGATTAAAACCTGACTAATCAAAAAATAAATAAAAAATTCAAAATTCGAAATTAAAAAAAAAATAAGTTCATTATTAAAAAGTGTATTTTTGGCTTTTTATATTTTTGGACTTTTAAACTTTATAAATATTTCAAATAAAAAATCTGCAAAAATTAAAAAAAAAATCAAAAGATTAAAACCTGACTAATCAAAAATAAATAAAAAATTCAAAATTCGAAATTAAAAAAAAAAAAAAAACAAGTAAGAAGGCTCTAGTCGAGACTGCTCGACTAGGAGATACCCTGAACCCTCTAAGCTGATATTCTAATCATTCTGCACTTGTATGCACACATACATACATATGCATCCACACGCACGTATAACAACGCGCTCTGCTAACTGCGCAGTAAGCAGCGACTGCGCTTGGGCTGCGCTGCAGTGTGGGCATATTATGAGAATTTATTTGTTGAATAATTTCTTTTGTAGACATACGATCTTAATGAAACTTTCAGAGCGTAATTATATGGTGAATACGTGTGTACATTCTAAAGCACAAATCTCTAGTACTTGAAATGCGTTTTTTACAAATTGGGGGCGAAGGGGGCGTGGTATCCAAAATCTGTAAACTACAAAATCTTTACATCCATTAAAACCCATTGAAAATGGGAAATCAGGGTATAATGGTTTTGTGAAAAAGTATGTAACGGGCAGAAGGAGGCGTGGCAGACCCCACAAAGTATATATATTCTTGATCAGCGCGACGAGCTGAGTCGATATAGCCCTGTCCGTCTGTCCGTCCGTCCGTCCGTCCGTCCGTATGAGTGCGTCGATCTCAGAAGTTATAAGAGCTAGAGAGCTGAAATTTGGCATGCATACTCGTGTGTACCATACGCAGTACGAGTTTGCTTTATTTTTTCGATAAATCGTCCGATAACTTTTTTATCGAGAATAATCGAAAAATTGATTTTGTTTTTTCAGCCTAATTTGAACACTTTTAGACCTTGAGTCTTCAAATTTGCGTTGTATATAAAGTTAATGGATACAAAGATTTTGTAGTTTACAGATTTTGGATACCACGCCCCCTTCGCCCCCAATTTGTAAAAAACGCATTCAAAGTACTAGAGACTTGTGCTTTGGAATGTACACACATATTCACCATATGATTACACTCTAAAAGTTTCAATAGGATCGTATGTCTACAAAAGAAATTATTCAACAAATAAATTCTCATTATATTGCCCACACTGCAGCGCAGCCCAAGCGCAGTCGCTGCTTACTGCGCAGTTAGCAGAGCGCAGGCTTATGCGTGCGTGTGAATGCATGTGTATGCATGTGTGCATAAAAGGAGTGCAGAATGATTAGAATATCAGCTTAGAGGGTTCAGGGTATCTCCTAGTCGAGCAGTCTCGACTGGAGCCTTCTTACTTGTTTTATATGGTTTTGTGCGAGGGCAGTATTACTATTAATAAAAATACCGCGTCCTAGAAGATCTAATCTTTCCCGGCGGACCCATAATGCAATTAGGCAACGGAATATCGCGAGTCAATTATCTGACGAAGAGCGAGAAATCGCCCGAGAAAGGCGCCGCGTTAGTACCCAGCAAAGAAGGGCCTTAATTCGTGCTTCTCAAAGAGAGGCCGTGAAACGGCAATAAGAAATGGTTCAAGGATTGATTTGAATCGAGCAGCGTTTCGATATGATTGCACCATTGACTATAGCTTGAATCGTTTAGCTTGCATTGGTCCAATGGACGTTGTTTGCCAGCATTGTGGCGCATTGAAATTTGCTGGTGAAACGCCCGGTTTGTGCTGCCTTAGTGGTAAAGTGACATTGCCATTAGGGGTCCCGCCACCAGAGCCATTGCGTTCCCTACTTTTCTAGCGAGCACTCAAAAATACAATGCCTGTTTCCAATTCGGGGCAGAGACAAATCCAACAAATCAAAAACCATGAAAATTGGTGCAGCAGATCTCGAATTATAAGTTTTGTAACAAACTCTACTTTGTTTTATATATATAGAGACTGTTAGGCGGTACGAAGTTCGCCGGGACAACTAGTATAGTTATAAATGGGCCATAATTTACATTAATTAAAAATTATATATATTAAATTTTTATATTAATTTTTCAAAAATTATATATATTAAATTTTTATATTAATTTGTCACTTAAAATCTGAAAAACTTCTCTTTTCAGAGAAAATGGAGAAAACAAAAATATTAATAATGAGTGCAAATCATATTTAATATTTATTTAGAAAAACTGAAATCTGGAATTGAAGAGCTGAAATCTGAAATGAAAGAGGTGTACACTCAGCACAGTTCGCGCATTTGTATGTATACGCCTTGCTCAGTTTCCTTTCTCATGTTTCCATCCGAATGACCGGAAAAGCGCATGCGTCAGTATAGCAGGATTTTCACAAAGTTCGACTGAAGTAGTGCTCGGAAAGTTATTTGCACAATTTTGAGAGTGAAAAAGGAATATAATATAATAAAGACGTTGCAATCGAGAACTATGTTCTTTTACAGCTAAACCAGCTGGCCAAATGCTCAATTAACGTGATATCTTGTGCTCAAATACAAAGTTGCAATTCTGAAATGAGACCTAGAAAAAATATGATAGACTAGTAAAAATCACCTTAAGTATTAATACAATCTCGAAAGTAACGTCGTGCTCGCATATAATCAAAGTGTTTTCCATCTAGATAAATAACTAAAATTATACATATTATCATTAAGATCTCAAATCATAGTTTCGAATGAATATTTCGAGATGCTGTGCCAAATTTATGTGTGCGTATTTACCGGTATAATCATTACTAAAAACTAATATAACTGACATAAAATCCCCCGGCAGTAATACATGTAGGCGTTATCAATCAAATAAAAGTTTTCTTACATACATATATACATATGCATACATCTAAAATGCCAAGTAATAGCTACATACATGCAGTACATATAGACATACCTATGCACATACCTATACACATTCCTATACACATACCCATATCTATACACAAATAGACATACATGTATGTGAATATCTATACTTGTGCAGATGAATATGAATAGAATATGGTGTATGTATGTATGCACAAATATACTCATTTATATATATGTACATATACATACATACACTGTCTTTAGCGACCTTTCTACTTTTGAACTTTTATTAAGTAAGGTCAGGGCAGGTCATGCATTATAACAGTAATCATTACTATAAATCAACAATGAAACTAAAGCAGACTGTCCGAATTGCTATCTTGACAGTCAGCAGCATTTATTATATATACTTTTATCATATATGTATACATGTGTGTATATGTATATATAGATATAAATATATCTATATAAAACTATTGGACTCGACAGACAAAGTTTCTTCATTTGCTTTATAAGATCCTCCAGTAATGAAGCCGACAACTTTATACTTGGATATACATACACACATGTATATCCTGCAGCTGTGTTTGCTCAAAGTTTGTTCCTAGTTATCCACATTCTCAAGAAGTTAATATGTTTAGTTGCTT